CATGATAGATATCAGTCTTCAGCCAATTCAGTTCACTCCATGTGATATCAAGAAACGGTTGGAGGCACTGGATACTATAAAGGCAGTAGTACTGAAGATTTGCGCTCCCCTAGCCAAGTTGTTCCAGTACAGTTACAACACTGGCATCTACATGACAATGTGTAAGGTTGCCCAAGTATGCCCTCTACATAAAAAGCAGGACAAATCCAACCCAGCCAATTACCGTCCCATCAGTCTACTCTCAATTATCAGTAAATTGATGGAATGTGTCATCAACAGTGCTACCAAGCAGCACCTGCTCGGCAATAACCTGCTCAGTGATGCCCAGTTTGGGTTCCACCAGGGCCACTCAGTTTCTGACCTCATTACGGCCTTGATTTAAAAATGGACAAAAGAGTAGAATTCCAGAGGTGAGGTGAGAGTGACAGACCTTGACATCAAGGCTGCCTTTTCCCTAGCAAAACTGAATCAATGGGTATCAGGAGGCAAACTCTCCAGGGGTTGAAGTCATATCTAACACGTAGGAAGTTGGTCGTGGTTGTTGGAGGTCAGTCATCTCAGCTCCAGGACATCACTGCAGGAGTGCCTCAGGGTAGTGTCCTGGCCCAACCATCTTCAGCTGCTTCATCAATGACCTTCCCTCCATCATAAGGTCGGAAGTGGGGATGTTCATTGTGCAATTATCAATGTTCACCACCAGTCGCGACTCCTCAGACACTGAAGCAGCCCATGTCCAAATGCAACAAGATCTGGACAATATCCAGGCTTGGACTGACAATTGGCAAGTAACATTCGTGCCACAGAAATGCCAAGCTATGACCATCATCAATAAGAGACAATCTAACCACCGCCCCTCAACATTCAGTGGTGTTACTATTACGGAATACCCCACTATCAACATCCTGGGAGTTATCATCAATCAGAAACTCAATTGGATTCATCACAAACACAGTGGTCCAAGAGCAGGTCAGAGACTAGGAATATTGCAGCGAGTAACTCACCTCTTGACATCCCAAAGCCTGTCCACCATCTACAAGGCACAAGTCAGGAGTGAGATGGAATACTCCCGATTTGCCTGGATGGGTGCAGCCCCAACAACATTCAAGAAGCTTGACACTATCCAGGACAAAGCAGCCCGCTTGATTGGCATTGCATCCACAAGTATCCACCCCCTCCAACACCGACGCTTAGGAGCAGCAACGTGTGCTATCTACAAGATGTACTGCAGAAATTCGCCAAAGGTCCTCAGACAGCACTGTCCAAACCCACGACCACTTTCATCCAGAAGGATAAGGGCAGCAGGTATTTGGGAACACCATCACCATCAAGTTGCCCTGCAAGCCACTCACCATCTGACTTGGAAACATATCACCATTCCTTCACTGTTGCCGGGTCAAAATCCTGGAATTCCCTCCATCATGGCATTGTAGGTCTATCCACAATAAGTAGATTGCAGTGGTTCAAGAAGGCAGCTCACTGCCACCGTCTCAAGGGCAATTAGGGGTGGGCAATAAATGCTGGCCAGCAGACGAGCCCACGTCCCACAAAAAAAATAAATAATTTAAAAATTTGAAATTGTTGACCTAGAGGTTTGGAAGGGACTTTTTTGTTGTTGGCAACACTGCATTCTTTTTGTTTATGTCAGAATTAAGTAAAGTGATCTTATGAGCTCTGACAAATTAAACAGTTTCATCAAAAAATGCATGTTTAGTCAGGTATCGTGTACACCAAAGTAAATATGTTCTCACAAGGTAGTGTAGGCATGAATGGCTGCCTATGGCACAGCAACGATTCCATGATTCTGTGAAACCTTTCTATTGTTTTGTAATTACCTAATTTGTGTAAATAAAATTTTGGTGCTATTTCTCTACAAATATGTGAATTGTGTTTCCTATCCTTGTGTATTTTTAATACCTTTAGATACTTAGCATGTTTAGCCTTTTGAATAATTTTCAAATCATCTGCCAGTACAGCATTACTTCCTTTTTAGTACCATAATAAAATAAGGATTATGATCTAGCCTAACTACTAACCTTGCAGACTGCTAGAATTCTATGCCAACTGCCAAATATAAAATTGTTTAATTCTGCTCTTCTTCAGCTACCAAACTTTAATGTCAGTAGGTAAATGGCAGTCTTTTTTAATTTCACAGTAGACTTACTTTGTGGAATTTATCAAAAGTTTTAAATGTAGTGAAAGAATAATCTACAAAAGTTTCTATTCATGAGGTTTGCTTAAAAATCTAATTTTGCACACCTCACGATTTTTTATTAACATTTGCAGTACCAACAATGGCTTTTGTGTTCTTTTGAGTTCTTTGAAACTCACTTTCTTCAATCCTTGACTGACTTTATTTGATATGAGTTAGCACATTGGTCTATCATCAAAGGATCTTATTGACTTGAAGAGCAAAGACCATCTAACATTTCTGCACATAATGTGTAATGATGTGAGAAAGCTTTTTAATTTTCGATTGGTGAAAAAGGTACGAGTCTTCATGGACAAAAGTGATAGTTCACTATCACTGAATTAGAAAGTTTAGTCATGAAGTTTTTTGCTGCAATGTAAGTGTATATTGTGCAGTTTGTACACATAAAGCTATTGATTACTGAAAGATAAATTGAAGAAGAATGGATGATCCTTGTTTTGTTCTAGTTCAAGGTTTTTTTCATCTTCAGAGTTTGTGTTGAATTTGTCATGCTTTGACCCTTATTCTGTAATTGTTGACAGGCTGCCCAAACCCAGAGCACAGGAGCAACATAGAGGTTAATTGTCATGTGAAAACTTTTGCATGCCCCATTAAACTTCAGCATTTTTTTCCGAAATGTTTACGTGATTCATGCCCATTTTACCTTGGTATCCATTGTACACCTTTGGTATTTTTAAGTCAAATATGACACTAATTGGATGTCCAGTCATGTACTTAAATTGCAATCCAAGAAGACTACCTGTAGTTGTACAAGAATTGAGGACAACGTGGACAACAATTTAAAGTTAGTTGCTGAGAAACGTACCAGTCATTCACCAACGCTTGTAAGTTATGAAGCTTCTTTAAAAACAACACACCTTGTAAGTTTTGATAGAAAGTTGTGTGGGAGAAGTTGGAGGTGTGACAACAGCAAAAGTTTTATTTATACCTTTACCATAATACATTGTTCCAAGGCGTTTTTAAGAAGCTTATGATAAAAGGTTTTACACTGAGCCAAAAGGACATTTTATGCAACCTATCAAAGGCTTGAAAGCTGTTGATTACTGAGCAAATGCTTCACCATACCTTTACAGGCTAATTCGCTACTGGTGTCACCCCTCTGCCAAATCTGTAACCTTGGACAAATGGATGAATGTGAAAATATCTCACTGTCTGAAACTCAGCCTCTCACGGATTCTAAGGCCTTGCCTGGCTCCTTGCTTCATACTCTTCTCATCACATCCTGGCTCCCCTCCAAACATCCAAGGCCCACCCACCAAGATTACTGCACAGATGCACTAAGAAGGAATGTTGGTTCGGGAAGGAATTCACTTGGGACCCAGGCATTTGATGTCACAGCCAGTAATGGTAGAGCAGTTGCATTCAGGAGCGTTCAAGCAGCCAAAATTAGAGGGATACAGTTATTTTAGTGGGTATTAAAGTTGTAGGAGAATAAAGAGTTAGGGAAGGATGAGACCCTGGAGGGACTTGAAAGCAAAGATTAGAATTTTAAAATTGTACTTTAACTGAACCAGTGCAGATCAGCAAGCAAAGGGTGGAGAGCAAACCAGACGATGCCTCATGTTCATGGATAGAATGTAGGAGGCCAGCTTAGTGTACATTGGAATATTCAATGTTTTAGTGAAAATCTGTAGCTTGGGTTGTGGCTGGAGTTGTTGGTTGGTTTGCCGAGCTGACTGGTTTTCATGCAAACATTTCGTCCCACTTCTAGGTGGCGTCTTCAGTGCTGTCTAGCCTCTGTTGAAGCATTGTTGTTCTTTTCCGTTCTGAATTTATACGGTCCAGTCTGTCATGGTGGGTAGTTCTGTTTCTAGTTTTGCTCCGTAGTAATATGTAGATAGGGTCTGTTTCAACATGTTTGTTTTTGGCACCGGCGGTTGGAAACCAGGCTTCCAGGAATTCTCGTGCTTGTCTTTGTTTTGCTTGTCCTAGTACTGTTATGTTGCCCCAGTTAAACTGATGCCCTTCTTTGTTGGAGTGAATAGAAACGAGGGAGAGTTGGTCGTGCCATTTTGCTGTGAGTTGGTGCACGTGTAACCTGGTGGCGAGTTTCCTGCCCGTCTGTCCTATGTATTGCTCCTCGTAGTTGCTGCATGGCCACTTTACCAGCTACTCTGATACACTAAAGACTGCAATGAGAAGGACAGATATGGTATACAAAATAAACACTAGAGCAGTCTTCATCCACGGAGTCACAAAACTGTCAAAACTCAAAAGTAGAAGTGAAAAAACAAATGGGTGTTTCCCTTGAGCTTAAAAAAGTTTCCACAAATCTCTAAGAAACCTTGAGGACCCTTGCTGTCCACCTTGCTGTGTCACAGATCAATCTAAAATAAACAAAAATCCATTCATGGTGTACATAAATGAGTTAATTCCAAAACTATGCCTCAAAACTGTTTTTAGAAAGAAATAACCAGGACCACAGAAATACTTGCAGTTAATTATTAACTTCAGACACACAAAAACCCACAGGTGATTAACTCAAAAACCAAAAGCCCAGTCTGAGAATAAATGATATTAAATATATATCTCTAAATCAGCTTACATCCCATCCCTGATGTAACATCAGATCATTAATGTTTAAACTTTGTGCTGGCGTATACCCATGGAATGTAGTTACTCATAAAACTTAAACCCATAATCTCAAAAATATATTGTATAATGTCATTGTCAGAATACATTTCATTAATGGAGAAGCTTCCACTATTTTATTTCCTTAAGATTATATTATGAAGCTACTTTTTGTTCAGTCATAAGTCAGAAAGATAATTACCTGACTATTTGTTTGCAGGTTCAGGCGATTCTGGTGAACATATTTGGTGGCATTATGCGTTGCGATATAATTGCTCAAGGGATCATTACTGCTGTTTCAGATCTGCACATGAAAATTCCCATTGTTGTTCGATTGCAAGGTAAGATTATCCATAAATTTCTAAGCCTTGGTAATTAGTATGTATCAGAAACACTAATAAACATTTAAGAACAGTTTCGTCCCCACTGTTTTCAGATTTATGAATGGACCTCTCATATATTAGAGTTGATCTTTCCCTGCATCTTGTCTGTAGCTGTAACAAAATACTTTGCATTGAGAGATAGTAAGAACTGCCAGTGCTGGAGCCAGAGATATCACGGTGTGGAGCTGGAGGAACACAGCAGGCCAGGCAGCATCAAAGGAGCAGGAAAGCTGACGTTTCAGGTCGGGACCCTTCTTCAGAAATTACCCTTGATCTGTTTTGAAGTTAAAGAAAGGACAGCTGATAAGAGTTAATGGCAGTGTTTGAGGGTTGCATTACTGAGGCAGTAGAATGTTTAGGAGCCTGAACAGCACAGGACTGAAAGAGTAAATGGTGAGACTTGTAAACTGAAAGCAAGGGGAAATTGTAAGGATATTTTGGGGCCTGGTCTGTAGAAGGGACTGGGGTAGTAATTCTGGAGGTGACACAATCCATGAAATTATTACACATGGACCTCATCCCCGGAGTTAGTGAACTTAACCTATACTCAGGTGTTTGAAGGGGAAGTTATCCCAACTTGCTTGTCTTTATTTCCTGTTTGGATAGTTCATTCCAAACATTTATATTTTGAGCAAGGTTTTCTTTTGTATCTTTGTAACTTTACTTTCCACTAAATTTTCATTCCTCTGAGTCTATTTTGCACGAAGCTTTGAAATAATAATCCATGTTAACCTTACATGTATCATGTACTTGCACAAACATTTTGAAGTACAGCCTTTTTTCTTTACTGTAGCGTTTAATTTGTCTGATCTTTCCTCAAACATACTTGTTTTAAAATTGAGATCAGTCTTACTGCTGTTGACTCTGTCTAATGAAAAAACGTTTTGACACCCAGATCAGCGTAGATTAGAAACAGTTGAGGTCAAAGGAAAGAACCTTATAGGACTCTATTGATGACTCGCACCCAATGCCTTTAATCAGAAGTAGTTATTCAAGTTTATTTTCTGAAAGATCATGCAGTGTGTTTAATATTCTTAGATGTTTATTCTGCAGAATCCTCTTCTCCTATTTCTATGCCTGCTTGAGTAAATTATTGCTCTACAACTACTTCTTTAACTTACACCATTATTTCACCCCCTCTTGATGTTGGATTAATAGGCTGATGGCATAGTTTGTTAACCTTCTTACAAGTACAATTCCATTTTGTGACAGTAGGCAGTGTGTTCGAAATTTTCTTTTTGGTTTCTCCTGGCAGCATAAGAGTTTACACCATTTTCTGCACAGTATATATTTGTCCCAAGTTCTCTTAACTTCCTGGGTACCTCTGCAATGGCAGCTTCAGAATTCTATCAAGATGATTGCACTTGATGCATTACGTAATGTGTAATATTTCCTTTTGTAAAATCTGTACACAAAATTAGGAACAGGTTAATTATTGTATTATGTTAGCCCATGCAATTTCATTGATCTGCCTAAAGTTTGTTTTTAATATATTCCTGTTTTTAAAACTCTCAAGATTTCTTGTTGTCAGTTTGCTAATACTGCATGTCTGGCCATGAGACCATTAACTACTCTGCATCTTTGGCGAGAAGTGATGAGAAAATCATACAGGACAAACCCATTGACACTGGAGCCATCTCAAATTCTAACTTGCTTCCAAAGCTGCAGCCACCGGTTTTTACAGGCAAGACCAAACCATAGCTCAGAATCCACATGCAGCTTCTTTGGACATCGACTGTGGCCCATTTCTTGAACAGGTTGAAGGGAAATAGACAGTTGGGTACAGCTTGCTCATGTTTGTAAATTAGTTCCAGTCTATGACCCAGTCAATAATTTAAAAAAAACTCTTCAACCCATAGTGACAAAGCTGATTCACCTTTTTAGCCCTGTTCACTAATAGTTCCTGATATTACATTGATTAGTCAGTTATTACATGGACTGTACTATTCAAACAGTTTCACACATTGTAGTGTGTGAAATTTTAAAAAATGACAAAGAAGTTACATTTTCCATCTTTGAGAGGCAGAATCCCATCTGCTCGGAACATCGACTCTGTGTTTGGGCAGTCAAAAATGGACAGGAAGTGGGCAATTTTATTCCTAGCTGCTTAGATCACTTCTAACTATCATGTGCTGAGTAGAAGAGATTGGGATAGGTAGGCATCACAAGTTATCCTGAAATCCTGTGAATGTGCAAAGTTTTATCCCCGCTGCACACATTACAAATTGCTCTCCAAATTACGTGATTCAATATAAAGCTGCAGAGGTCTTTTCTGTGTCGTCTTAAAGCACAGTTGGCAATGGGATCAAAATTTTAAAAAGTGATAGGAGGTACATACAGAGCACAAGCACTAACATGGACCCTTTGGGCCAGTTGGCATGCTTCTGTGTTCTGCGTAAAAGTGGGTGATGTCCAGGACAGGAAATAGACTAGTCAACAGTCAGGGTGAATCTGGATTTAACACTGGGGTGCAGGTGAGAGGAAAATCACAGTTGAGGTAAGAGTGGAAGATGGGGCAAGAATTCTAGATTCTTAACACCAAATTTAGGCCCACACTAATGAAATGTTCCAGGAAAAAAAATCTCAAATCTGCTGCCCATGTTCAAGACTTTCTGAAGGATTAGAATGCACTAGAATAATCATAGACTCACAGAGATAGACAGCAAGGAAACAGACCGTTCAGTCCAACTGGTCCATGCCGACCAGATATCCTAAATAAATCTAGTCCCATTCGCCAACATGTGGTCCATATCCCTCTAAACCCTTCCAATTCATATACCCATTCACCTACCCACATGCCTTTTAAATGTTGTAATTGTACCAACTTCCTCTGGCAGCTCATTCCGTGCATGTGCCACCCCCTGCATGAAAAGGTTGCCCTTTAGGTCCCTTTTAAATCTTGCCCCTCTCACCGTAAACCTATGCCCTCTGGTTTTGGACATCGCATCCCCACCCCGGCGATGAAAAGACCTTGTCTATTTACTTTATCCATGGCCCTCATGATTTTATAAACCCATATAAGGTCACCTCTCAGCTCTGATGCTCCAGGGAAAATAGCCCCAGTCTATTCAGCCTCTCCCTATAATACAAACCCTCCAACTCTGGTGACCTCACAACATCCTTCCTACAGCAGAAAGACCAGAATTGCACACAGTATTCCAGTAGTGGTCTAACCATGACCTCCTAACCCCTATACTCAATGCACTGACCAATAAAGGCAAGCATACCAAACGCCACCTTCACTGTCCTATCTACCTGTGACTCCACTTCCAAAGAACTATCAACCTGCACTCCAAAGTCTCTTTGTTAAGCAACACTCCCCAGGACCTTACCATGAAGTGTATAAGTCCTGCCCTGATTTGCCTTTCTAAAATTCAGCACCTCACATTTATCTAAATTAAACTCCATCTGCCAATCCTCAGCCTGTTGGCCCATCTGATGAAGATCCCATTGTACTGAGATAACCTTCGCTGCCTACTACACCACCAATTTTGGTGTCAACCGCAAACCTACTAACCATACCTCCTATGTTCACATCCAAATCATTTATATGAAAGACAAAAAGCAATGGACCAAGCATGATTCTTGTGGCACATCACTGGCCACAGGCCTCTAGTCTGAAAGGCAGCCCTCCACCACCACCCTCTGTCTCCTACCTTCGAGCCAGTTCTATATCCAAGTAGCTAGTTCTCCCTCTGTTCTCTGTGATCTAACCTTGCTAACCAGTCTACCATAAGGAACCTTGTTGAACACCTAACTGAAATCCAAATCGATCACATCCACTGCTTTGCCCTCATCAAGCCTCTTCATTACTATTTCAAAAACTCAATCAAGTTTGTGAGACATGATTTCCAACACACAAAGCCATGTTGACTATCCCTAAATCAGTCCTTGCCTTTCAAATGCATGTGAATCCTGTCCCTTGGGATTTTCCCCAACAATTTGCCTGCTGCCAGTCAGGCTGACCAGTCTATAGTTTCTTGGCTTTTCCTTACCAATTTTCCTTAATAGTGGCACCATTGCCAACCTCCAGCCTTCTGACCCCTCGCCTGTGGCTATCAATGATACAACTAGCTCAGCAAGGGAGATAGCAAAAACTGCAGATGCTGTCGTCAGAGATAACATAGTGTGGAGCTGGAGGAACACAGCAGGCCAGGCAGCATCAGAAGAGCAGGAAAGTTGACGTTTTGGGTCGGATCTCTTCTTCAGAATGGAAGAAGAAGGGTCCCGACCCAAAACGTCAACTTTTCTGCTGCTCTGATGCTGCCAGGCCAGCTGTGTTCCTCCTGCTCCACACTGTGTTATCTCTAGCTCAGCAAGGGGCCCAGCAATCTTTTCCCTAGCCTCCCACAGAGTTCTAGTGTACACCTGATCAGGTCCCGGGGATTTATGTACCTTTCTACATTTTAAGACATCCAGCATCTCCTCCTGTGTAATATGTACGTTTTTCAAGATATCTGTTTATTTCCCTATGTTCTGAATCTTTCATAGCCTTCTCTGTAGTAAACACTAATGCAAAATACTCATTTAGTTTAGTTTTTCCCCCATCTCCTGCGGTTCCACACATATCTGAGTTCATCTGCCTTACCTGTTAGGCCCCTTGCATTGAAATAAATGCAGTTTAAATCATCAGTCCTACCTTGTTCTCTACTTTGTTTCTGCCTGTCCTGTCTGTTTGACTGACTGCTGTACCAGTGTCCAACTGATCTCTTTCCTCACTATTTCCCCGGGTCCTAATGTTTCCCCCCGCCTCTTTAAATCCTCCTCAACAGTTCTACCAAACCTACCCATCAGTGTGTTTGTCCCCTTCCAATTCAGGTGCAATCCGTCCTCCTTATACAGGTCACTTCTACCCCAGAAGACATTCCAATGAGCCAAAAATGTGAATCCTCCTCCCCTGCGCCAGCTCCTCAGTCACTCATTCATCTGCTCTATCCTCCTATTCCTACCCTCACTAG